GGGTGGGTGGGGAAGGGAAAGGGGGCCGGGGAGCGGCCCGGCACCTCGGGCTGGGCTGCGGGCTGGGGGTGGGAGCCATGGACTCGGCGCCAGCCTTTGCCATGGACAAGCCGTTCGCCCCCGGCGCCGTGCGCGGTCCGGAGCCGCCCGAAAACGCTCAAAGCCGGAAAAACTTCAGCGTGAGCCACCTCCTGGACCTGGAGGAGGTGGCGGCCGGTATGAACGGGACCCCCGCGGCCGGACCCCCGCCCGCCGGTGGCGGCAAGGCCATCCCGGAGCCGTCGGGAGGCAGCAGCGGCAGCGAGGCAGCGCCCCAGGACGGTGAGTGCCGCCGGCCCGGGATGGGCTCCCCGGGGATGGGGCAGCCGCGGGGCGGGCACCCCGGACAAAAGGGTCGGTGGGGAGAACTGGGGCAGCGATGGAGGCGAGCTGCGAGTGCGTCGGCACCCCCGACGGCTGCGGCAGAGGGACCCCGCACCGTGAGAAAGGGACCCCGCACCCGGGACAGGGGCACAGGGACCCCGCACCCATGACAGGGGCACAGGGACCCCGCGGCAGGGCAGGGGAACAGGGACCCCGCACCCGGGACAGGGGCGCAGGGACCCCGCACCCGGGACAGGGGCACAGGGACCCCGCACCCATGACAGGGGCACAGGGACCCCGCGGCAGGGCAGGGGCACAGGGACCCCGCACCCATGACGGGGGCACAGGGACCCCACACCCGGGACATGGGCACAGGGACCCCGCACCCGGGACAGGGGCACAGGGACCCCGCACCCGGGACAGGGGCACAGGGACCCCGCGGCAGGGCAGGGGAACAGGGACCCCGCACCCGGGACAGGGACACAGGGACCCCACACCCGGGACAGGGGCACAGGGACCCCGCGGCAGGGCAGGGGCACAGGGACCCCACACCCGGGACATGGGGCACAGGGACCCCGCACCCGGGACAGGGACACAGGGACCCCGCACCGGCCGCCTCCTCGCCGGCACCGGAGGTGTCGGGCCCGGGACGCTCCCGGGAAGTCGCTCCGTGCCGGGCTGCGCGGCCTGCGGTGTCCCCGTGTCCCCCCGGGCTCCCGGTCTCGGTTTCCGGGCGCGGGGAGCGGGGACCGGGACACAGCGGGTCCCGTCTCCCGCATCAGCGGGGACAGAACCGGGGCTGGGAGAGGAGAGCGGCACCGATCCGGGACGCGGTTTCATGGCGCTCGGTCCCGGCCGCAGGCGCGTTTTTAACGGGACAATCCCGCTCGCATCTCTCCCTCCGCGCCGCTCCGCCGGTCCCGCGCATCCCCGCTCCGGTGCTGCGGCGGGGGTGAGGAGGGTTCGCCCCATTCTCGGAGCAAAGCCACAGTGCCGGGGCAGCCGACGGCCCCCAGAGCCCCGCGGAGCCGGGTGTCCCCTCGGGACACAGAGGTGACAGAGGGCAGGCAGAGCGTGGGGTGGGGGTGCAGCCCCGCCGTGCCCAGAGCCCGGGGCAGGCACCATCCCCGAGGGGTGCCATTCCCCAGAACTCTCCCGGCTGGGCCGTGCTACCCCAGGCTTGTTTTCTACAGCCCTGGGGTGCTGACAGCCCTGCCGAGGGTCTGACCCGTGCCTGGCCGGGGTGCACAGCTCACCCGGGAATCTGTGCTGTTGAAGGGGGCTCAGTCCCTTCGATCCCCTCCGGGTACTCTCTCTGTCCCCTCCCGTGGCTCCTACACCGAGTGCAGGTCTGGAGCATCTTTCCCCAACCCGCAACTCCTTCCCTGCACAGCCTCCTCCCTTCATGGAGCAGCCCCACCGAGCCCCAGCTCGCGCTGCTGAGGGCTGGCCGCTGCTTTTTGGGATGGTATCTGGTATTTTCAGTGTTATTTTCCAGCCTCCCTGCCTTTCCCTTGGGTTTTGTTTGTGCTTGCAGCAGTGGCTTTGGGGCTGTGGGGAGGGTTTCTCGTGCCTGTGGGTCTGTAGGGGGACAGGATTCCGTGTGGGATCAGCGCAGCTTTGGGAAACGCAGCCCGCAGCAGTCTCACAGGGCTGTTTGCAAAACAGCAGAGAAACAACAGCTCTGCTGGGCTCCTAAAGCACCCAGAGAACTCAGCGCGGACCCAGCGCGATGCAAAAAACAGAGCGAGGCTGCACCATCACCACAAGCCTGTTCTTCACCCTAAAAGCCCATTCCTCCCTGGCAGGGGCCCTGGGGTTTGGTCTGCAGATCCCAGCAGTGCTGGCCCATGCGAGATATTTCCCATTAGCACCTGTTCTGGCAAGCTTGCACGGATGGAGACACCATCAGCATCTGGAATGCTCTGACAGGCTGACCAGCAGTTGAAGCATTTCTGATGTTGAAAAATACCCGGGAGCTGAGAGCAGTGGGCAAGAAGAGAGCAAGGAAACAGAGACAAGAACCTGTGTGCACGCAAAGCTGGACCTCTGAGACCCTTACCTGCTGCCACTGCCTTAACTGAGATGCAATTTCCTAATTTGAGATGGGGAGACTGGAAATACCAGGCAAACGTCCTGCCTTTGTGAGCACCAGCCTTTTGCACCAGATCTGCGATGACAGCAAAGGAACTTTTACTGGTAACCTTATATTTTATTGGCATCCTGAAATAAAACAGCCTCTCGGCGTTTGCTCTCACCTTCCTCCCCACCCCCGTGGGGTTTTTCTGCCAGATGCAGGTTTGGAGCCCCGCAGTTGGTGGCAGTGGGATGCAGGGCCATGGTGCCCCTGCAGCTCTCTGCAGGACGTGGCTCTGAGCTCCAGCCAGGAGCCCTCGGGGTCACTGTGCTGCTGGGTTGGAGGAAGAGCAGCCCTGAACCTGCTGTGGAGCTGCTGGGCCCCCTGCAGCAGGCAGGGCTCACCGGGGGCTGCGCTGGCAGAGCTGGCACAAGGATGCTTTAGGCAGCCCCAGGCTGTGCCCACCCCAACAAAACCCCCTCCCCTTCCCCAGGGAAGCTGCAGTGAGAGCTTTCCATTCCCGAGGTTGGCACAGCCAGAGAAGCTCCGGGCAGGGGTTTATTCTCTGCAGAAGGGGATTCAGCCCTTTCTGACCTCACCCAGCCCCACCCCACAGCCCTTGGCACACCTCTCCTCCAGCAGTCCCTTGCAGGGCTGGCACATCCCTTCCTGCTGGCACTTTGGAGGCTTCTGAGGACCAAAGCCATGCCCGACTCCCTCTCCAGCCAAGGGGCTGCTCAGCCCCTGCCTCGGCCACAGCCCCAGACTGGCCCCGAGTGTGCCTAGCGTGTCCTCCTGGGACGGCGAATACAAATATCTGTGTAACACATTGCTCTCATGACACCCAAAAATCAGAAATCCCACAAGCCAGGCAAGAGCGAGGAAAAGTCAACAGGGTGGTGAGAGCTCATTCACACCCTCATCTTCGTCTTCATTCTCCCCTGGAGTGGTGCAGCAGCCTCCCATGGAAAACCTTCGGCACAACTTCTGAGGTCTTGAAAGCTTGTTCACCTCCTTTCATTAGACTAACAAATAATGTGTAACGCGAAACATCTGTTAACAACAGCCCTTAATGTTCTCAAGATGATAAAGCAGGAGGGTAATTTTAGCCAGCAAGCCTTGACTGATGGCTTTTCAAACAATGAACTTACTTTTGGTGCCGCCTGGGGATGGGAGAGGGAGTCGTGCACTGGCTCCACTTTGGGGCTGAAAACTCAGAAAGAGTCACTTTTGTCACAGCTGAGCTGTGGCCCCTCCACGGGGATATTTTGGCATGGGGAAGGCATGCATTGATCGTTTATTTGGCTGGGATCTGGCAGTTGGGATGGGGAGGCGTGGTGGCCCCTGGACATCCCATTTTCAAAAGAGTGCCTGGAGCTCCTTCCTCATCCCCTGGGATGCTCTGACCTGTTCTGGGGCTGTGAGGATGCTGAGCAGAGCAGTGATGCAGGACAGGAGAGAAGCAGCAGCACACAAAGGGGCAGAGGGCATTAAGATGTTGTTACACCAAATTGGCTTTAATTATGTAAACCAGAGCAGCTGAAAGGGGAGAGGAGAGGCAGGGAGGGACAGGGACCTGGTATCAGAGGCAAAAGGGGACTTGGTCCTGGAGTTAAAGCAGTAGCTGATTGCCCCAGGTAGCCCCAAACTCCTCCCAGGGCTTGGGTACTTTCCCTGAGGCAGAGCCACCCCAGCTGATGTCCCTGTGATGTCCCAATCCAGGGACTGTGGTGGCCCTGGCTCACAGGACCAAGTTTGGCTGTGCTGCTGTGCCTTCCCAAATACCACTTGTCCCCATCAGCCGTGGGCACAGCTCAGGGACACCTTGGCCCCTGTGGCTGTGCTGGCAGGAGGCAGCTCTGTAACACCACGGCTGGGATGTGCCTTTGGGGACGTGTTTTTGGGGATGTGCCTTTGGGGATGTGTTTTTGGGGACATCTGTGCACAGAGATGCCCCAGCTGGTCCCAGTTAAACCCAGTGCCATTAACTCCTGGCTGATTCCCTGTGCCTCAGTGAGACTGGGCCATGGGCACAGGGACACAGCTGAGGCCCCCCTGCCCTGTAACCCAGACCCAGCAGAGCTCTCTCTCCAGCACCCATCTGCTTTCCACAGCCCCAGACCTGCTGGGCACCCTCCAGGCTGCAGTGCTGGGAGGTTTTCCTGGTTTCTGGGTGCCGGACCAGGGACAGGCAGCGGTGCAGGGAGCCCCTGTGGAGGGCAGGAGGCTTTGGGAATTGTCTGATGGATGTGGCTCAGCTCTCCAAGGAGAGGTCCCTGCTGCTCAGGGTGGCATCAGGGTGTTTGCCATGGGCTGAGGGGGGCAGCGGGGCTGGGCTGCAGCATTTACAGCACCCACCATCCCTCACTGCTCCCCAAAACAGCCCCGGCCGAGGTGCCTGGCTGCCCTCCCAGATCTCCTGCAGGGCCCTGGCTGGGGACAGTCCCTGCTGGCAGAGCTGTGAATGTGGCATCTGAAGCAGAGGGGGAGGTGAATCCTCTCTGTCCTTGTAAGGGCAGCCCAGCCGGGTGGGTGGCACCGGGACAGGAGCCATCCTTGCCCTCAGTGACCAGACATCCCCCTGTCCCCAGCCTGGGGACACCCCAGCCTGGAGGGCTCTGAGGGCTGCAGCCTCAGGATGGGGTTTTTCCCCTTGTACCCTTGGGGAGGGGACAGTGCTTGTCCAGTGTGTGATGCTGGCAGGTCCCCAGTGCACCATCCAGCAGCAATTAGTCAGTAAGCACCAATTAATTTGTGTAGGAGATCCCACCCTGGCCATCTCCCAGCCCTCCAAATTTGTTTTTGCTTCCTGCAAGGATGGAGGGAGGGATGGATGGATGGATGGATGGATGGATGGATGGATGGATGGATGGATGGATGG